AAGCTCTATCAGCCGTAGTAAATCACTAAATATTACAATATCACGCCCTTCGACCCTGTACTTTTTGCTATTAAAGATAAATAAACATTGAAGTGTTGATGAAAATGTTGATAATCGTTAACAATAAGTAATTACCTTTGCTATCATAACTATGTAATTAAACTCCCATCAATGACACGACAAAAATGTTTAAATAGCCCTCCTACAACCTCTTTAAGCGGTACTCGACAGTTGTGTACCAGCAATATAGCGCAACTAGAGGGTGGGCAATATATAACATGGCGCTTTCATCGAAATGTTTGAGGCCTTCAAGTTTGATCACTTGTATTATGTCTAGAATGAAGGATAAAAAGTGAATCAAAGGCTCATTGTTAGTTTTCAAATCGATTGACCAAAGATTTCCGCGGGCGCTATAGTTAAAAAAGGTTAAGGTTAATTTATTGACAGAATATAACCTGGTAAGATTGATCGAGACCGGTTTTGCAGAACAACCTCGGCTTTCAGCTAAGTATAACGTGGTATATATGTGAAAGGTTGTGGTACCATGGCTGTTAGAATAGACGTCATCGTCGAAGGACCCAACGGGCACAACCATTTCTATCAGCACGGTCCCAGTTGTTGAAAGAAGAGGGGGACCGCGGTCAGGGTTACAATCGCGTAATAGATCTGGCGTGGGGCAAGTGATGGAAGGATTGCAAATCCATTCGGCATGGAGAAGACACGTGGTGGTCAATCCTGACATACGGAGTAGGCGTGGTTACATTTTAGTCTTTGGTTGGCTAACACAAAGAGAATTCAATTTGCTTCTAAAAACATTCGTGTCGTTCTTCTTCCAGGCTGGATATTTTGGCCTCCCGACGTCAGAGAAATTTGACACCAAGGGCAGGAAGATCACTACAAGAGCTACTTGTCCAGGAGTGCAAGAACTTTCAACACACCTCAACTGCGGTCGGACGTAGGCAACCTCACTGGTTGAAGTACAAGATCGCGAGGCGGCTCAAGTGGTCAGAAGGCTCGTGACTCTAGTACCCTATTTTTGGCGAAAGGCAATCAAGGCTGATCGCGGCGACGCTGGGAGAGCGCCAACCAAGAAAACGCGATCGGGTGAGGAATTTTCACTCGATCGACACCAACTTCCAAAACGGTCAAGTTCAGCATCGAGTCAAATCTATTAGAAGAGTGCAACCCGCCCTAACGACGGGTACACAAGGTGAAGAAGGAACAAGTGCAAGCGAAATCAGAGTACCTCCTCCGTTAGTCGGTTGTCAGGGCGCCAGTGGAGAGTCGGGATCGCCTCATTGAAAGAGTGAACCCTACTCCATCACTTGAACTGCACATTTACATTTACACTTTTACTTGTTGCGTTTATCAAATGAAAAAACTTCGCATAAAATATCCTCTGCACGCACACGAATGTGGATTTCTGGAGGCACATAATTTCCTTGTGCTCAATGTATGCAAATGCGGGCGCTTAAGGCTACCGCGCAATCTTTCTCTGCAAGACTCCAAGCACCTGCGAGAAAGCGGTTTTACCGTCTTCTTTCGCGTTCAGCGAGGTTCGAGTGGTCCTTTTACATATCCGTATCGATAGATGAAATCTTGTGTCTGGTTGTGGCTCGGACGCGATCTTGTGTCCTATGACGCACACGTCAATACTAGGTCGCAAACATAAGACTGATTTCTATTTAGGTAGTTGAACATAAGTCTAAATAACTATTGTCTATATAGTAAAAAAGGTCGACGAACATTCCGATAAGACGCGGTCTCTGTAGCGTGCTCAAGCTGATTATTAGCGCGTTGATGACGTACTTCAATGACATGATGTAATGACGTCTAGTACAAACATCATTTTTATGTGTGACACTCACTTTGTAGTATATTTGTCAATGCTGTAAATCACCCGCGTTTAAGGTCCTAGTGCAGATCTTACTAAAAACTATTCTCAGAATTTTACGTGCCTTTAAACGGAAAGCCTCGTGTAAATTTTTGGCCCCATCAGAGTAAGTACATAGCGCTGTGTCAGGAAAAGCGTTCGGTTTCTCATTACAGTCCCCCTATTCATATCGTTGTTTCTATCACCACACTACATCTTTATCTAGTGTAGTGGTGCTTGTGGCCTTTTGGCATGAAATAAACTATACATTAATAAATCAATTAACGGTCAGTCCAACCAGTCTTATAAACAATGTGTTTTTACGTAAAAGCGCACTGTATCATCAGCTGGCTTCTGTCGCTAAGCTTGACGCGGTTAAGTCACACGATTCACCTCGTATTTCTTGTTGTGCTTGCCCGAATTTGTGCCGTAGTGTTGTATGCGGGAAGATTGTTTTAGACTTGCAAACCTTTGGTACTTAACAGTTAATACTAAATTCTCCACCCATGTACACTCCGCTCCTGGCAACATTTGGACACCAACACTTTGTTAACAGCTCGATAAGTTTGTCAAATTATAGGGTTCTCTATAGATACGCGGGTTTTTTACAAATAGAAAACCGTATGTGTGTAGCAATTGCGATTTCACAAAGCGTAAAAGGACTCACTTACAAATTACTAGATTTGCCACTGCGACAGATAAAATGTACACAATAGCATACATAGAATAAGTATGATGTATATCATGATAAGGTCATTGGGTCGATATTAGTGGCACAAGCCATTTGGCGACACGATGTTAGCGGCACATATCAAAGGGAATGGGCACAAGAAGCCAAGACTTAACAACCACGAGCGGGGAAGGATGGTGAGGCTCCGATAGGCTGGCCTGAGTTTGCTTGCCATCAAATCTATTACCTTGAGGAGCCTTGACACTATACGTCGAGTAATACCCCTCTCTCTTCTCTGCAGATAAATCGCCGAGGACCCGCTCCGCTTCATTTCGAAGTGCCACGTTCGAACTCTCGTGCGCACCTCTGCACAATAAAATTTATTCGACGCCCAGCTCAAGGTCCAGATAAGCCTGCCCGTGTCCGTCCGCACCTTTAAGCGCATTGTGACCGACGATGATTAGCTTGTGTACACCAAGATGGAAAACACGTTGTCGCTCATGGTCGCGGGCAGAAATGCACGCAATCCTGGGTTGAGGAAAAGCTGGAGCATGAAGATGCTGGTTCCGTCTAGGGTCCAATAATTTTCTCAAACGAGAAAGAATGGAATCTTGACAAACCCGGCAACTTTCAGCACTATTGAAGAGATCTGCGCTAGCCCGTCTGCCAGACGAAGCGACGTTAAGCTGGAGGTGGATTCAATCATGCTAAAAGCAGATTTTAGAAAGTCTCCTCATGTTGTGATGACAGGGAGGCAGAATACGAATGATTGCGTTCGAACAGTGTCTGGATTTTTTTCCGTTGCGTACTTAGAGTTTAATACAAATTTGTTTATCAACAGGACAACGCAAGCATACGTGTTTCACATCGTAGCCACGAGTTCTACAGTGAAGAAAGGATCAAGTAGCTTGACTACCATCAAAACCAACCCCAACTCAATCCCATCGAGATTTTACGGTCTATCGCTAGCAGGAAAGTGTACGAAAACTGGACCACAATTCGAGCGCGTCTAAGCTAAACTCTTTGCTAATTGCGACATGTAATGCTTTTACGAATGCTACACTTGTGCCGCTTGTTCTCTCGATGCCGCGACGATGCATTGAGATCGTCGAGAAGAAGGGCAACGAAACCTACTGTTAAACACAGCGAGTCCTTAATGTCCATTTTATACTTAATGTTTGTATGTTATTTTGTACGATTTAAATTGTCGCAGTGGCAAAAGCAGTAATTTGTAGGTGAGGCCCCTAACGCTTTGCGGATTCTGTAGCACACATACGGTGTTTCTATCCATAAAATGCAGCACGTGTCTAAAGAGCACTCTCTGATTCGTAAAAATGACTGAGCAGTGGCTAAAAGTATGGGTGTACGAGATTACCTGTCGCGGGGGTGTACGCCTCACGCTTAGTTTGGTCGTACTCTGACTCCATAATTATAATAAGATTTAGAACCATCCAAGTCCATAAATTCACAGTCCTGATACCTTTTCGTCTTCAATTTCTAGTTTTAATGATTTTCTTGTAGTTAGGGCTGTCGGGCTACTCAAGCCCCGATGCCACTTCATACTTTAGTGAGAGCAACAGCTCCTAAAGTCAGTGGATTTGTTCTACGCGATACCACATCACGATTTCACATGCTGTCACACGGCGATAATTTATAGTCAGTGCTTTAGCCTGCAAAGCCCGATTCGAACAAAACTTCAGTGCTTGTGTCTCATGCTAGATTCGCTGGACTGGACACGCAGTTTTGACAAGCCCACCGCAAAACCTTAGCGATCTGTCGTCGCATTCCTCAGCAGCATCGTGGTGCTGTTTCGTGACTTTCGGTCGCCTTACATCATGCGTACTGTGACAATATTCAGTTACACGTTTCAGATGCATCGCAACAAGCCATCTCCCTATGCGTGAATGAGAAAGCGGCTAGCTCAAGCTGAAGTCATCCTTCTTTTAGCAACAAGACGGACTTGTTCAGTGTCCGAACTAGGGCATGCGCTTGTTATAGTCACCGATTGCGACTGGTGGTTGCGAGGCTCAAACTGCAAAATACAGACACCTTGTACACTGTTCTTCATTACTCGTTCTTGTGTGCATCGTGCGTGGAAATTCGCAGAGTTGTCACGTTTGAGAAGGTCTCCCTCAAGTCGGTAGAGATGCAAGTTAGTAGATGGACAGACAGGTTCCAGAGAGAGAGATAAAGAGAGCAAACAGTTTCGTTCTTGGTGGCGCCATGGGGGTCGGCTACTCTTGTTCGCATCGTAAACACCGCTCGACTCAACAGGCAGTAATCTAGCCCTTCTCCGAAACCAACTCCGTCGTGGTCCGATATGACGCATCGTTGCGGACTGTACATCGTGCTGGCTTCAGATGCAAGACGACGTCAACAAGTGAAAACATACGTCTGTCTTTCGACAGTCCATTTCCACTTTGACATCTTCGTCCGCAAACGTCACACTAAACAAAAATGAGAATCGCTTCGACTCTAAGTCTCGTGCTTTGCGCCTCGATGATAACAACAAACCACTTGGTTGAAGCTCTTTCTCGCTGCAAGGTGAAGGGCAATTACCAAAACTCGTCGTCGTCTTTGTCGGTTCACCCAGCGGGTACCGACCATTCCTCCGACACAGCTGAAAAGCTTTCGTTTGGCAAGGTGACATCCTTGCAAGCTCGCGTTCAGGGTGACAGACCTCAGTGGAATGTCGATATGCAACGCTTCGTGTCATCCCACTACGATACGTTCGACGGTAAATTTCGTGCTTCACTTGATACAGTTAATATGGCATCCGTCGAGGGTGCACTCAAGTACGTGCAAGCCGAATGCATCAACGCGTCCGTGGTAACAAACTGCAAGCGCAAGAACAACATCAAGTACATCGTCTTCTACCAAACAACGGTAGTCCAGCCTCCTGCATCAATGGAATACTATGCCAATGCCACGAACGAGTACAATTTCACTGTCGAACACTGTCCCTTTGTTCCCATGGACGGCGGTCGATGCAATCCGAGCGCTGACGGCTCTTTCCCTAAAGAATGCAACCAGTACATTGGAGCTGCTGGTGAGCCAAAGCTTGGCTTTTGCGTGGGAGGCACACTGCAGGACAACGAGGCCATTGCGCCGTATCCGCACAACTACTGGTTCTCCTTCCCCAATAGCTGCCCACTGGAACTCTGGGATCACAAGACTGATGCTTGTCGTAAGGAATTCGCAGGTGGCTTGTGCCCTCAGGGTGTTGAACCGGATGGCGAGACTTGCACCTTTTCGTACGATATCCTGGGCTACATTTTGCTGGACGACGTCGTAGGTATCACGTCCATGGTCAATCCGAACACAGGCGATAAGTACGCCGACTATCACGAGTTCTGTGAAGCCGGTGGTGTGGAATTTAGCGTCTCAGTGGCTGGAGATAACGTCACATGGCTGGATGGGATCGAGTTTTGGGACAGTCCCGGGGATAGCGACGCGAATGTCAAGCGGTCGGAAAAGGTCGTGGGTGCTTATGCTGATCTGCTCAAGAAGAACCCCGTAGCAAGTGATGGAGGGGTAATGCGACCACTTCCCACAGCGGACGAACTGATGACTAGTAACCCTCCGTGCTACCGAAACAGCAAGATCTGCGCGGAGGCCAAGTTTGGGTGCAAGCGCACCTATCGCTCACAGATCTGCGAGGTTTGCACATCGTCCGACTTGGGCTGCGTGATGGCCGAAAGCTATTAAGTGTCCCCTAAGATGTCTAATAGCTAAACCCAGCCACCTCGGATCTGTACCAATAACATTCCACATCTCTCTCATGTGTGATGGTGCTATTGCACTGTGCGGACTCGCCTAAGGGCGGGCTAAATCGCTCGACATTCGCAAGCTGGACCTACACTACAGTGTTATGGACAAGCAGTGCTGGAGCTGTTGAATATTGAACGAACACCGATTGCTGCAGCCTGTTGCGATAAGCCACTAGACACTACGATCGCTAGCTAAAACACACACGCGCCTAACGGAACATGAATACAAAAGTGCAGCACTCTTCTGCCGGTCTCCCATTAGTGAAAGGAGGTGTTGTAACCAGGATGATACCCCGTTTTTCTTTAGTAGATGGAGAGCGTTGAAGCAGTGCGTTTTGTGCTTGCAAAGCCATGAAAGTGAACAGTTAGCGGGGCTTTCACCTCTCGATGCAATGGTCTGTTGTATACTGCAGAACTTGTCTGAAGCGACACGGCTTTAGCTGTAGCCCTTTCTAAGCAGCTGAATCAACAGATCTCGGCTATCCCATACTGGTGATCAGGAACGAATTCAACTGATAACCCAATGCTGGCTGGAAACGATACGTTTTGGTGCTAATGGCATCAGCCTAGACAGATTCTACGTTACGCGTAGCTGAAGAAGCAGCACTGGATGTTAAAAGTTCCTCATCTCCATCCAACCTTCCATCGCACCACATACCTTTGCACTGTGCATCTAAGCTCCAAAATTTATCGTAGCAAGATCCAGAAGATTGCTGCCCTCAGCAGATTTCCAGATACTGTTCCAGACATACTGATACGAATGACGTGGCTTTTGTAGCAGATCAAAGACCAATCCAGGGACTCGAACGGCGAGGAGCGCACATTAGATGAAGCGTTCGTGTTGACTGTCAAGAAAGCTCTCAATGGCGCTTTGTCACGCCGAGTTGCACCGATGAGAAGGGATTGGACATCCAACTGGCTATAGATATTCCAGACGGTTCAAAACTTGTCTGTAGAGAAAGCTCCTTCGCCTTCTGACATGGCGACATCGCTCTCCTCCTCCCTAGCTCCTTCTGCTGGCCCAACGTGTCGGGCTTCGCAGGGCGAACGCACTCCAAAAAGGCTCGTATGACCAATCATTCAAGCCGAGGTGCATTGAAAGAACAGAGGGCGCTGGACTGGGCCGTAAAACGCAACGTGCTCTCTTGCTGAAAGGGTGTCATAGCGCACGATGCAGTCACTTGGCGTGATAGAGATGCATCAAACTGTCGATGCTCGCTTTCGCCGCATTTTTACGAGGTATCTATTGCACGCACACCTCGAGATGATGAGGTGATACCGTGACTGCAAGAGCATCGCCAACACCTCAACAGTCGAGCTAGTACACCAGCTAGACTCTCGGCCCGAAAGCGCTCGCTGTAAACCGATCACGAGGTCATCAAGACAATGGTGTTCGTAGTACTCGTCAAATAAACACATCCGACTCTTTCAAGCAACAGGCACAGTCTCCGCTATGGAAGCGTCACCCAGAAAGGTCTCCGCTAACCTGATCGATCGACATGGCCTGTCTGAGAATGCGGCACATCCTCTGCAACGCCTTCCAGGCGTCAGGTCTCCGCTCCTAGTCGCCCAGAATCGCGCCTATCTGTCACACTGGGCACACCGAATTTGCAATGGTCTCTGGTCGTTGACGGCATTGCAGTCGAGCCATTTTCACTTCCGCCCACGTCAGTCGTTTACTGTGCAATGAAGACTTGCTCTGTAGTTTTTTTGGCTACCTGCACGGCAACAGCCGTCACTTGGGTCTCTGTGGACAGCAAAGTTGTCCTGTGCGAGGACGAAACACGGCTCCAGGTCGCGAACGACAGCTATGACTTACCGGGTAAAGTGTACGGTGCAGTCGAGAATGACGGGACGCAATCTCAAGTGCCCGAGTCGAACTTCACCATTGCAGATGAAGACGTGACGCAGGATGACCACTTGGTTTCGAACTCCACTGCTGGCAACTATGTTCCTGTTCTTCGATGCAGTGACAGCAAAGACGAGCAGGACGAGAGTACTGGATCAGCTTGGACGTTCCGGACGTTGCCCACGGCGTCGTCTTCACCTCCTTTCTCAATGGTGACGCGGTTGGGAGTGCGCGTCCAGGGCGACAAACCGGAATGGAACGCAGAGCACCAACGCTTCGTGTCGTCCTATTACAAAACCTTTGACGAGAAATACCGAGCCGTGCTCGATACGGTCAACATGGCGTCTGTCGAAGGGGCACTCAAGTACGTGCAAGCCGAATGCATCAACGCGTCGGTCGTGGACAGCTGCAAGCGCAAGAACGACATCAAGTACGTCGTTTTCTACCAAACAAACGTGGTGCAGCCTTCCGCTGCCATGAAGTACTACGTCAAAGCCATTGATGAGCACAAATTTGCCATCGAGAGCTGTCCATTCGTGCCACTGGATGGCGGTCGATGCAATCTGAACGCTGACGGCTCATTCCCTAAAGAATGTAACCAGTACATTGGAGCTGCTGGTGAGCCAAAGCTTGGCTTTTGCGTGGGAGGCACACTGCAGGACAACGAGGCCATTGCGCCGTATCCGCACAACTACTGGTTCTCCTTCCCCAATAGCTGCCCACTGGAACTCTGGGATCACAAGACTGATGCTTGTCGTAAGGAATTTGCAGGTGGCTTGTGCCCTCACGGCGTTGAACCGGATGGCGAGACTTGCACCTTTTCGTACGACATCCTGGGCTACATTTTGCTGGATGACGTCGTAGGTATCACGTCCATGGTCAACCCAAACACGGGCGACAAGTACGCCAACTACCGCGAGTTCTGCGAGGCTGGTGGCATTGAATTTAGCGCCACAATCTCGACGTCCTTAGCAGGTGGCCACTCGCGCAGCGTCGTCGATATGACGGAAGGACTTGAGTTCTGGGCCAATCCTGGCGACCGTGACGCCAATCGTGCGCGTGTGGAGAAGCTCGTGTCTGCATACAATGAGCTTGCATCAAAAAAGGCTAAAACAAGTGACGGCGGCGTCATGCGTCCGCTGCCAACGGTTTCGGAGCTTAGGGCTCAGAATCCGCCGTGTTTTGAAAACAGTTTGGTCTGCGCTAAGTCGAAGTTTGGATGCAAGCGGTCGTACCGTTCCCAGATTTGTCAACGCTGTACATCGGACGATTCAGACTGTGAACGGAGTGGGGACAGCGCTCCATAGTGGGAAAAAGGCAGCAAGTGGTGGACGCTGATGACCACTGATCTATTGGCTTGAGGTGTCGGCTATTGCAGCTCGTTCATGTTGAAGTGAACCTGTCCAATCAGCGAGAGGACAGGTTCCATGTGTACTACATGTAAAATCGCTCCTAAAAAGTGAAATTCCAACTTTAGTCTCCAACCTGGACTTTCATTTTGGTGATTTAGCATTCTCCCAAGCCGAACTAGAGCATTACTTCATGGCGTTAGCGGATACGCTGCAGCGCCAACACTTCAGCAATTAGTTTCAGTATCGCTCGCGCTTACTTTAGTGATCGCTGTGCGTATTTATGAATTGATGTGTCCCCGTAACCTGTTCGAAACGAATAGAGATAAAACCTGTATTGCGAATTGCAACTTTGGAGAATGCTGTGCTCTAGCACCCAAACGTTCACAACCATGACCCCATGGTCATTCCCGGATTTTGCGCTTGAGTTGGTCACACGAGGAGAAGGCCACTATGGAAAAGCAAAACATCTGCATGATCCTAAGGGATACACGAAAGACCGAAATAGGGAAAGTAGCTGTATCGTGTCGAGTCGTTAATGTGGCGTGGTCGAAAATGACGCCATGCGGCAGTTCATACAGGTTTCAATCATAGGGAGTATCGCCTTAAGTAAATGATTTCGTATTGGACCAAAAGTTGGTCGTAGTCTAGTGGCGTCAACGCGTATCACTCTCAATTCGTAATCGAAAGAGTCCAAATTACAAGTATCGGATAAACTCGTTTAGTTTTTGTTAGAATGTCGCATCTGCTGACATCCGGACCAAAAAATAGGCACGCTCTACCAACTTTACCAGGAAGATACTTTGATCAAATCAGTACTGACCATTACAACTGAAATGTCACTGGGTTGATAGTTTGCTACTTGGTGCGGCTACGACCGACCAGAATCCATTCCAGGCAGATTCCACAAGAAGAATCAAGCATCGGTCAGTTCTTGGTTAGCTTTAGGACGCAATGTGAAGCGATACGGATAATACCTGGGCGTGATCGAACTTTATTGCAGCTTTTTGCGGCCTCTATCATGGCTGAATAAGCAAAGGACTTTTGCTGCATGAAAGCATTCCGGAACAACGGTGCTGTAGAGGTTTGGCTGCTGCGGATCCGCATTCTATAGCTGTGAAGAGGAAGCGGATCGTTAGAAGCATTCACGTTACCAAAGATTGTTATCGCGACGCGTTGTAAGTTTAGGTCGGCTTGTATACTGCATAATCCACACGCTAATGATAAACTTGGGATGTTTCTGGCGGTGATTGCTAAAGCTTTAGGACTATCCACGACGACACATGTCGTAATGAAGATTTCATCTCTTACCTTTCGTCACAAGATCAGCGCCACCGCTCTGCGTAGCAGCTCCAGCACTCGACTGCATTGCCTCTATGGTAGTCAGTCTCACCAATGTGTGAATGGTAGTACAACTTTTACTCTTCGTCAACAGACACCGACATGTACTACGTGAACGAATTGAAAGCGGATTCAGGATGTTGGAGCATGAGGGTCTCGACAATTTGTTCAGGGGTCCTCATTCCTGGGACCTTCGATGTGCTGCTGATCGTAGAATTAATGACATTAGCTAAAGCTGCGTAGAATAAGAGGGAGGAAGAGACACTACATGCACGTGACTGCTAATCTTGAGACCGAGCGTGATTAGGTGCTGTGCTGGTAGCACAGTCGACGGAAGCGATCTGGTCGGCATGGACGACGATGAAGACGACATCAACACCGAGAAACTGCGGTTTATTAGCGGAAGCAAGCCAAAGGTCTGGTCCGTCTTTGATATGGAGCAAGTTTCAGAGGAGCGACGCGTGTCAATGTAGTTGATGAATGAAAGTTGATGCGGATGACGTCAACGGGCTGGCAACCGTAGACGTCCGTACTTAGTTTTGCGTGGTTAGTGAGAGCGTAAAGTATTGGACTCGTGCATATTACGACACATAGTATCGTATCTGCGATGTCCATCCTGTGTGAAGAACAAAAGGATAGGAGGTGCTCAGCTATTGACATTCGCCTTACTCCTCTTATACTACAGGTGTCTGTATTTTTTCAATTGAAGGTGACTAATTGACCTCTCAAAGTTCCACCTAACTCTCAACTCAATTGCTTGGATAAACTGCATCGACGATCTGCCACAATAAGCGACGAGAAACGACGCCAAAGTGAAGCTTTACGTGACGAGGAATTGAAAGCCTGTCGCACTCAAAGTTGGCGTATACCCTACACTTCGTTCGGTCTTGACGCCATTTTCCTCCGTCTTGCCTCAAGTTTTGTCAGCGGCTTCGATCTTTGCTCGCCTCAGTCAACTTGTTATTTGGTAGTGTCTGTGCGTCCACAGACGAGGCGTTACTAGCTCGCAGCCACTTTCGTAACTGGGCAGACCCTTCGACTGAATTCATTTTTTAAATCAAGTGCCATTGCTCCGGCTTTTTCTGTCTCTTGCGACTGCGACGGTAAACTTCAGTACGGTAACGATATGACGAGCCGGTCGTGTTCTCACTTGCTTGATTTTTCAGATCTAGCCTACAATTCTGTGAAATTGGAGGACTTTGTTGCAATGATTACTTACCGTGTGTATCCATCTGTGACACAACTGCAAGTTACGTGGTAAAAATCTGATAAAGTCTCTTTATTCCCTTCCTTTGGTGAATAAGTCCGGCGGTTGACTAAATTAGTACGATACTATAATCACTATCACTTTCGTGACAGCATGGGGGCCTCAACAGCCCCTATTTTTGCTTCGAAAAACAGAAGCTTACAGTTGACCGAAGAGTTGACACTTCTGGTCAGACGCCCCTGCAGGAGACCTGTGATGGCGCGCTTTTGTGTTCAACTGTAGCAGATTCACGGAAGGCAGTAGGGATGACTGTGACTGTTGGCCCCTCGACGGCACGGCGTGTGCCTTACCCATCGTGACGCCTCTTGACGTCTTTATCGGTTGCCAAACCGAAGGTCTCTGCAACCGTCTGCTGCTGCAGCAGTCTCTGGGGCCGACCATGATGGCCGCATGTGGTGCGATCGTTACAAAGTGGTTGGCAAACATTTGAGCGGCTGCTAGTTGCTTGATGTTGAATATGACGACGAAGGGAAACGAGCGCGAATTGGGAAATGAGATGATGCGTGGCAACTTCAAGACGAGCACCTCAGGCTCATGGCGGCAACTGGACCTTTTTCTGGCGTGAAAACAGCACCTTTGTCACCTCGTTGCTCTAATAAGTCGGCAAACGGTTTTGAATTTGCGATACACGAGCAACGGCCGTCGTCATTTAGCCGACAGTCTTAGTTTGTGACTAATTACGAAGCTCTCTCACGGCTACAGCAGAAGTGTCAAGATGTACACTTGGCCAACTCATTCTTCGTTGCGTAGAGCTCTTGTGGCTCGAAAGGCTCGCTCACTTGCTAGAACAAGCTGTAGCTGAACCATTCGCAGCGCATGAACCCTCCGGCTCTTACTTCACGTCGTCTACGAACTGATGGGCGGAAGTTTACCACGTGCTTGAATGACCCCGAATTTAGGCTGCGTATAAATGAACGCTTAACGTTCGCTGGTGCCAGGGCAGCCACGCCAGAGCTATCGCAAGAGATCGCATGCCCTTAAGTCAGTTGCTGGAATTCCCGCAAGTGGATTTAAATCGAGCTGGCGGCGGGCAGCCATACATCTTGGATGTCGAGGTGTGACCGGGCCTGACGAACGGATCATCTGGGCTGCGTCTGCCACTTACGCGCATGTTTCTGCGTCTCTAACCAGATCTTTGTCTCATACCGGCTGCCAGAAGTAAACATCGTATTTTACATCGGCTCTACCATGATAATTGCAATACGCTCTCGGTTATTGTCGTTGCCGTAAGATAAAGTATAGCAAAAACCCACGAGACTGTGAGAGGACAGGTCGAGATCTTCGTTGTACATGCAAACAGTTGCCAGATATGGCTCGCATTTGACGTATACCGTGGACTGACAATCACTCTGCAAGCAGAGACAACGTGACATGGCGCAGATTGCAGGAGCTTCGGCACACCTCTTTTTTGCAAGAAATATACTTTTCACGAAAAAGCGCTTCTCTTCCAGTAAAAACGCAACTTTCTCCGTAATATTCGCTGCCGAGAAGATGGTGATGACGACAGCCAGCAAGAGCGACTGGATCCTGACGGAATTGCAAAGCGCGGGGGAGCCACTCCTTTCCAGAGCGCGGGGTTACAAGCACAGCTCACGTCACGCCAGTTCCGAATACATCCATCTGTCCACTGTCTCACGCCGAGGCGCCACCTCCCTCCAGTCCCGAGTCTCGGGGCGCTCAGCTCCATGTTCGCCAAGCACCTCGTGACGATCGCCCCCCATGCCGCCGTCCTCGTGGGCCCCACGGACCACTCCAACACCTCCCGACAGCTGTTTGCGGTGACCAAAGCGCCCCAAAAGACCAACACGACCCGAAGACAAGGCCCGGACATCCTGGAGCAGCAGCGACGACAGCAGCAGCAGCGACAGCAGCAGCACGAGCGACGGGAGAGACGATGTCGGCGACTGCATTTCGTGGCAGTGTTTGTCTTCAAACGGTCTTAAGATCGCGAGATTATCTCCTCATCTTCCCCCTTGCTTCCACCCACATCACATCGAGCCAAGCAAGAAGGTTATGGAAAAACTGTGGTGCGTGGCGATCTTCCGTAGTTGCTGTGGAGGTTCATCTCAACGTGTGACAAAGTGCTGCTGGCTTTTGCTTTCTTGCAGGTAGACTGCCGGGCATTGACTACTGGCGACAAAGTGCAGCCTTAAGTACGAGGAGGACGTGACGTGCTGCAGTAACCTTAATCAAGTGTCGCCGATGAGGTCGTGCGCGAGCTCTGGAGTCGACACTGAGCACTCTTGAATTAATTCCGTCTTTGATAGAGGGCGAGCCTTGCGCGGACCTTGTAAGCCGACGACCGCAGACTCGATCTGGGTCAGGTTGCACCCATCAGTACTTTAATTACCGGTTTTATAAACTGGTAAGCACCATGTGTCGTTAGACCAAGGTGGCATCGATTAAAAGAGTTGCAGAAACAGTACGGTGCGATACCGGTAAACGTCCGTTCTTATGACTTGCTAATTTCTCGATCAGATACAATGGGCCAAGCCCCTACGCGTAAAGCACTGGGGCCCTCGACCCAGTCAACTCCCACGCTCTTCCCATTGTCGTCCGAGGAGTACTATCTGCCTGAAGGTGCTATGCTCGATGTGGTGCTGGAGATCGTGTCTGCTAGTGTGCGAAGCTGATCAAATTACAAGCGTCGCGTCTGTTGTGAATGCTGCATATCTGACTTTGTCGCTTCTCTCCCGCGTGACGCTCCTGAATAGAACATTATGGCAGGCGACTATCTCGGACTCACGGCTTTAATGCAAGGCCAATTATGCTCAAGCGACGCGTACGCTGTCATTGAAGTGAATGGTCACAAAGTGGCTTGGACCCATCCGGACTTTTCGACACTGGACCCAGTTTGGCACGAAAAGTTTTTTTTTCGGAATGTCCTGCCAGGCTCGCGATGCAAACTGTACCTACTGGACAAAGACGTGAATGCGGACGATGAACTGGGTGAGACGCAGTTTGTTATCGTCGACACGGACAACAACGAATCGACATCTGAGCTGGCCATCACGTTCAATGGGAAAAAGGCCGGCACGATTGTTGTCAAGGTTGATTGTTGTATCATTTTTTTTACTGCTGGCAGAATTTGTCAAGCGCATAACCGAAGTTTGTATCAATCGTTCTGTGTACATGTTGAATACAGGTCCGGTCACATCCGGTGTACCGTGAACCTGGTGCCGTGCTTCACGAGTACGGCCCTGTGCGCTATTCCGTGCACTCCAGTGTGACAGCTGGGCTTATGACCATGTCCATGTCCAACAACTCCAAAGTGGAATCGCTGGCGTACCACATCCAGCTACACAATGTCCCGCTCTTTCTGCCAACGGAACACGAGTGGAACAAGGACTACCCGACGATTCAGCGCATTTTTTCGCCAGAGTATCCAGAGTCGCTGGTGCTGCGTCAAGCGATTATAACGCAGCACGCGTTGATCTATACCCACGGCATTAGCAACACACAATACGGTGCGATTTCGTCACCAGTCGAGTTCTTCAAGCTCATTCACGACGGAACGCGTCTTGACAAGCCAGTCCTGTTCACGTATGTCATTACGAAGAACGGCTGGTATTTCTCCGAGACAGGTGCAGCTTTTTTCAAGGACATGCTGTCAAAGCACATGCTGCACTCGTGCGCTGCATTATCTGTGTTGTAAGTCTTTTGAGTGCTCTTTACGTTGTAGTGGTGGCTCAAACTGAGGTGTTTTATGTTTGTGTACAGGTACGCTGGGGAGTTTCGTGTCGACAACCGTCTGTTTGGTGCACCAAAGCTCATTATTGACAACGACAGTGGTACTTATGCCCCGCCTAAGGCAGTTCTGCCGCGCGTTAAGGCGCTGCTTGAGAACAATTTTCCTGGAATAGCAGTTGAGGCGTTGGATCGCGAAGACGAAGGTGTGCAGCAAACACGCAAGGAGATTCTGGACTTATGGACATGATCGTCAATGTCGTATTTGGTTGATGTGAGATGTACTTACGTAGAGGTTTGACGTAGCATAGGCCTGAGCTGCGAAGTTGTGCTGTATTTGTGCATTGCGATGGTGTACACTAGTTAACAAAAGCCATTTACAAAATGTAATTTAACGATGGTTTTTGAAAGTGTGTTTGTAATCTAGTGTTCCAGTTCTGGTATTGCACAATGGCACACTTCTCCAATGCTGGCTCTTTACATTTCAGATTTGAACACGTTACCATTTAAGTATTCTGATCGCTCATCATCCTTGCAACTTGAGGGATCTCCTTGCGCAATCAAGACACACGAGCTGCTTTTGATCTCAATGAGCTACTTGTATTCTGTAATGTGGATGATTGATATGATCATTGCACGCATGCTTGACACACCGTCAATGTACGTTCTTAAAAAGCACAAGGAAGCTGTCTTGTGCTTCGAGCTCGACGTTGTTTTCAGTCAAGCTTTTTGCTCCATACAGACGTAAATAGGAGAGCATGAGAAGTGTTTGAGCAACTTGCTAGATCCCCTCATGGGTACGCCTTGGCATCTCTTGTAGCGATGAGGTCTTCATCGGTGACCTCTCTATTGAAGCCGGCAGCGACGTCGTTAGCTTGACTTCAACGTCGAGCCTTGAATACTCGGCCTAGCGCTCGAGACATGCGACCACTTTTGGTCTATCTGAGTGTAAACAGATCAACTCCGCAGAAGAAACGGAAGGAAGAGTTGCACATCCGAAGACTCGTCGTCATGATTTGCCTGCGACATCAATGTACCCAGCTCAGTGAAAAAGCACCTGAAGCGCACATTTAGAGAGCATTCAAATGGCTCAAGTACCTCAAGGACCGACCACCTGCAAAGTCTAGTCCACTCCCCGTCCCTAACATCTTGCGAGAATCTAGTACATCTAGATCTGTACTTCTCAGATTCACCGACGAAACCAGCAGGTCCAGCAGCACCCCGATCAGTAAGGACACCGTGACGAATGTTTTTCGATCGAGTATCCAGATGATCGAGACGCGCAGCTGGCCATCCGTTGTTCCGACTTTATTCTCTTCCGATCAATGAACTCCGATCGCATAGTAGAATGCAGATGAAGCAAGATCTGGTCGCGGATACAGCTGCAAGTCCGTTCCTGATCGCTCGAAAGTGAGACTTGGCCAGCATCTTCATTCTTGAATCGTCCCACTCGAGCTCTCACCTCGGCAGTCATGGGTCAAGCTTCGTCCGCGCCGGCGTTTTCCTCCCCTTCAATTGGTCTCACTCCGTCCGTTGACGTGCCTGCGCACCCGCTGCTCAATGTCGAGCTTCAGATCGTGTCCGCCCACAACCTCGAGGCGGCCGACCACTTCAAGCTGAAGGCCGCACTGAAGGGCCACTTCGCTTCAAGTGACCCCTTCGCAGCCATTCAATTGGGGGAAGAGCCACCCGTGGCGTGGACCCATCCCGTCCTCTCGACGCGCCATCCCCAGTGGAACGAGACGTTCTACTTCACCAACGTCCAGCCAGACGAACTGTGCACCCTCTACTTGATGGACAAGGGCGTCTTCAAGGACGAGTCCATCGGCCAAGCGCAGTTCAAAACTCAAGACACGGGGGACGAAGAGACGGTGTACAAGCTGCCGATCCTGAACGAGGACGACAAGGCCGGGACGATTACGGTCAAAGTCAAGTCGCACGTGATCGATGCGATCGGCAACGGGGACTTGCTGCAATACGGACCCGTGCACTATTCGGTGCACCCGAGTCGCGTCACGGGCATCCTGACGAACACGGTCACGGACGAAGACAAGCGCCAGTCGTTCGCTTACCACGTGCAATTGCACGACATTTCACAGCACTTGCCGACGGACATTTCCTGGAATCAAGAGTACAAGAAGGTGCGCCACGTGTTCTCGCCGGACCATCCGGAAGCCACGGTCTTGCGGCCAATGGTCGCGACCGAGCACGATCTGGTCTTCAAGCACGACGCTGATACCGTCTACGGAGAGTTCGAGACAGCGGCGGACTTTTTCCAGCTCGTGAATGGCGGCAAACGGCAGGGCAAGATGGTGCTCTTCACGTACGTGATCGTGGAGACGGGCTTCTTCTTCTGCGAGACGGGCGCGCCGTTCTTCAAGGACATGTTGTCCAAGCACATGCTGCTTGCCCGGACGCAGTTCCACGTCAGGTACGCGGGGGAGTTCTTCATTACGGAGAGCGACCGCTCGGGTGGGTACACGCTGCACATTGACAACAACAGCGGCACGTACGCCCCGCCGGAGGACTTGCTGCCTCAAGTCAAGGACCTGTTGAAGAGCAATTTCCACAAAATGTCGGTGAAAGCCGTGGGTCGCGAGGACGCAGAGCAGGTGAAGACGCGGAAGAAGATCCACGAGGTCTGGGACGATTAGGTGCGCAGGTGTTCGCCCAGGGCGAGAGTGCAGTGGAACTGCTAGACTGTGGCCAGAGGGGACGGGGTGGCTGGCGGCCGTTGTTAGGTACGTGCGTACGTACGTGAGGAGGAGGACGGGAGGGGTATGATCGATCAGTGAACAGACGTAGAACCTAAGCGAATGGAAAGCAGCGAACCTAACGAGTTGTCGGATCATCATATCGTGGCCGATCCGATCAGAACGACGACAAGTGCAGAGTTGACACGAAACAACCCAGAACAAAAAAACCAAAACCCACCACATCTCACGTCGGTTGCTACAAAAAAAGCGCGGGCCCCAAGTCTCAACCCACCGCCTTCTCCATCTCCTCTTCCCCCCCCCAATTAAGAATACTCCTCCCTCCATCTATCCATCTACATCCCAACATGTACCCAAAGCCCCACCCGTCCGGACCCAATCGCCTCATCCGTCACCACCTTTGCCCTCCACATGGGCGACAAGTACGACCGTCAGCTGCGTCTCTGGGGCGTCCAAGGCCAGCGCCGTCTCTCCCACACGCACGTCCTCGTCCTCGGCTCCTGTGCCGCGGCCGCCGAGGCGCTCAAGAACCTCGTGCTGCCCGGCGTCCAGCGCTTCACGGTCGTGGACGACCAGTTGGTGACGCTGGCGGATGTAGCCACTCACTTTTTCGTCTCGTCTGCTTCCGTCGGTGCGTCCAGATGCGAGACCGTGGCCAGGAACGTGCAGGAGCTGAACGCGGACGTGGCCGGAGGCGCTCGCCACGCGAACGTGGAGCACGTGCTGGAGACGGAGCCGCAGTTTTTGGACCCGTTTGATCTCGTCATGGCTACACAATTGAACGAGCGCGGGACGCTCTTGCTGGCGGACTTGTGTCGACAGAAGAGACGGCCGCTGATCGTAGTGACGACGTGGGGGCTAGTGGCCTCGTTGCGGCTCCAGGTGCTGGACCACGTGATTGCGGATGCGAAAGTGGACCCGCCACGACTGGATTTGAGGCTGTCGAAGCCTTTTGCGACGCTGACCGAGTTTGCGGACAGCTTTGACTTGCAGTCTCTGTCGAGGAGGGACCACGCACATGTCCCGTTTGTGGTTGTGCTCCTGCAAGTGAGAGAGCAGTGGGCACGAGACCATGACGGGCACATGCCGACGACGTTTGCAGAGAAAGACGCGTTTAAAAAGAGACTGCAGGACATGGCGTGGGGAGCTCCTGGGCATGAAGTGAACTTTGTAGAAGCTGCGGAGAACGCCTACATGGCGTACGTTGCGTCTCAAGTGCCTGAAGAAGTGGCGCCGGTGCTGGCAGCTGCTGCATCTCGCGTTGGGTCGGTAAAGGCTCTGCAGACGACGAAGGACGTGGATGTCGTCACACAGGAGTTTTGGCTTCTGGCGAGTGCCCTGGCAGACTTTGTCGAGCTGAATGATGGCATGTTGCCTGTGACTGGCGTTGTGCCAGACATGACGGCGTCCACGGAATCGTACGTGGCGCTGCAGGAGCTCTATGTGACCAAGGCCAAGGAGGACGCGATCAAGGTGCACGAGATTCTGTGCAAGCGGCTGCGCGACTTGAAACTTCCTGAGGACATGATCTCGTACGAATCAGTTGCAGCATTTTGCAAGAACGCCCCGAGTATCGGTGTGCTTGCAACACGCAGTGTGGCGCAAGAGTATGAGCACGTCGACTTGTCGGACGTGGATCTCGAAGAAGAGGACAAGGAGCAGTCGCCGTTGATCTGGTACTTTATGCTGCGTGCAGTGACTAGTTTCGCGTCCAAGTTTAATCGATACCCCGGATCTGAGAACGCTATCGTAGCTCAAGACAGAGCGTGGCTTGTGACGAGAGCGAGGGCTCTGGCTGCTGGTAGTGACGTGGCGAAGTGGATTTCTGATGATCACGCAATGGAGATGACCCGATCATGCCAAGTCGAGCTGCACAATATTGCCGCGTTGATGGGAGGTGTCGCTGCGCAAGAAGCTGTGAAGTTGATCACGCATCAGTTCGAGCCGCTCAACCACACATACGTATTTAACGGCATCTCGGGTGTAGCTGCAACGTACCGACTTTGAGGTGTTCACGTATCCTGGTCAATCGATGAACAGTCGAATCATGCCTATAGACGTATATTTTGTGCAGTCATCTAGGCGCAAAGAGCGCTCTTGTTTATCGTAGACATGGATCCCACCCAACACGTCACTTATTTCACTGCCCCTGACCGCTGCATTTGTTCTTTGGTTTCTTCAGCTGCCTCTGATTCTCAGAAAGAGAGCGTCGCGTCAGAGGCCCGGATACCGAATGAGCGCCTTGTGCCGGTGGATGTCGCTCATTTTGTTGCCGCTCCTTGACACACCGCGGACAGTAGCACTTGAACTTGTACTCGCGCAAATTTGCCTCACGCGACTGCACATCCATGTCAACATCAATGTAGCAGATGCAAAGCTCTTCACCTTTTCGGATATCACGTATAGCCACAACGTGGCCGTCGCCATTCTTTGTGTACAGCACAGTGCAGTTCGGATCGCAGCTGTGATTCATTGTACAAATGATCGGAAACAGCGCAGTGCCTTCAATGCCAGCATAGCCCAGAGGCGAATCAAAGTCGGAACTCACTTCGCCACCGCTCCGTTCCAGGCGTTCCTGTGCTTGCAGTATTTGTAAACGCTCTTCCTCCCATTCTAGCACGCGTCGCACGCTAGCAACCAGAGCCTGATCTTTGATGTTCAGCTGTGGCTGTAACCTTGGAGACGAGCAGCTGACTTTTTCATTGCTCTCGCCCGCAGCTACTTCGTGCTGAACGTCTGGGTCCAAAATGTCGATGAAGGCGCGAAAAGGATGATCCACCTCCATGCTGATATTGTTCATCTCAAAGAGGCCAATCTGCGCCGTAAAAAACTCGAAGCTCAATACGCTCGAGCAGCAGCGCCAAATTTCTTCCACCGTAACACCACGCAGTTGGCCTTCCCGCTCAAGCCGCACCAAGTTACACTCCAGTGCGTCAATTAGTAGCTCGTGCGTCATCTTCAGCACCTCCTGCAAGCACTGCGCCTTCGTCGATTCTTTTGTAGGAGTGCCACCGTCCGACTCTCTTTCTCTCTTACTCTTTACTTGAGCTTGTCGTATGTTGTGAGCTTGCGTGGCACCAGGGCCTATAGCAGGCGACAAAGCAGCGTTCGATTTCCGATACGCACTCCTTTCTTCACTTGGCGAGCGATCGTCATTGCTGCTGCTACCTCCGTCATCACTGTTTGTATCGTCGCTGCCACTAGTCGTAACGGGCCCAGACGTTTCCTCGCTGCTACGCCACTCCTGCACCAGCGGTACCGAGTCCTCATGCTCCACGACAACTACTTCCCACCAAGGTTTCTTGTAAAACATGTCAATCGGTTCACGTGCTTTGACAATATCTCGCCAAACGAGATACCGTGAGAGCACGCGGGCAATCACCTTCACTGCAAGATAAAATATATCGTTTGTGTGGCGTGTATGCTCGAGGAACTCGCCCATGGCCGAGCACGGATCGTTGCGAGGGCAAAGTATAGCATGATATTCATGAAGTGCTCGCATCCGACACAATTTCGAGCAAAAGAGCTCTCCACAAGCACATTTCGCTCCAGGGTCCGCCATTCCACAGCTTTCTGGCGTTATACGCAACAGCTGCAGCGTTGTCTCCAGTGCATTCACGTCCACCACATCCCTTTGTGCTCTATTTATTGCCGTTTCAGCTGTCGTGCCAGCTTCCGGACTCGTCGACGCCCCTTTTTGTGTCTGAGCCAAATTGTACCGCGTGACAATGTCGCGCCACTGCTGCTGGGCGTCGCCCAAGAGCGGCAAGTAGCAAAATTGACAGCACGGCAAAAGACGGCGATTGTGCTCGTGTTGCATGGCCACGAGCGGCGATTCGGTCCATATCCGAGTAGCTTTGGGCAAATCTCGTTCAGCGTAAATGGCTTTGCCCTTGACAGGTCCAGCGTCCCCACACATGATTGGGGCCTTGGCTTTACTGATATTGACTTGGAAATAAGTACTTGCAACGGGGTCCGTGGGTCCATACGGTGCCGCCATGCTCGAATACCGGTCCACTAACAGTAATCAAAAGTATCATATTATTTATAGACATAGATAAGAACAAAACAAGGCACAAAAATTCCAAAAATTGAAAAAAAATTAGCGCCAGGAAGCGGACGAAATCTCGACGAGCGCTTACGATCGATTCGAGAGGAGCGTAGAGTGCTGCTCTTGAGACTGCTGAGCGTCGAGGGCTTGAGCGCTTGGTAGGGCGGCGGCAGACTCGGTTGACGCGCGTCCGCGTCGCCGTTCATGACGACCGACGGTCTCGGTGCCACGTTACGGAGACTTGGGTGGAAGCCGGTGGAATTCGGAATAGTGACACGGCCACGGAGAAGTCGGACTGCAAATGTCGAAAGTTCTGAATTTGAAGCGGAAGACCGAGAGACTTTCGGAACGTTTCGCGTCTTGTGATTCGCTCGTGGAGCGAGTGATCCGACTGAGGTCGTGGGGTTTTGGATGCGATTGGCTGAATGTCAAGAGCTGCGAAAGGGACTTGGAGTCCGGTTGAGGAGGCTGGCTAGTTCTGTCCCGCTACATAAATGAGACGGACGTTGGAGGTCACCAGCTGCTCGAAAGTGTCACGAAATGAAATTCAGTTATGGTCTTTGCGACTGAAGAACCGACAAAAGTGATCCAAAGTGCTGATCGTACTGCACGCCTGGATCGCAAATAAGTGGAGATCCACGTGTGGTCGGGGTCTTGAAGATCGGGCTCAGCTGTCATACCTGCACGCAGACTCTTTAGTGTATTCGTCGATATACACTTGGTGCTAAAAAGATGCAACCTCTCATAATCCTCTGTCGAGCGACTCCTTTTTCTACTCAAACGCTGTTGGGAACAGGCAGGGGATGGAGGCATACAAGCCTTGACACGCACAGCGATCGACTGGGCACATGGTGGTATTGGCGTTGCAGATTCGATTGAGGAGGCACGACTGACCGATGGACTGCCCCCCTCCTACTGCTGGCATGTGGTGATCCACCTGCATCGGTGATGCATCACAAACGTTTTAAGTGTATTCATGTATCAAAGGGGCAGCGCACAGCGACGAGGCATCACGTATCTTGCAACGAATGTGCTTTATTCATTGCTTACTACATTATAGTCTATAGGTCATTCAGAGGACGTTAATGAGCACCTACAAGATCTCTGCTGCAGCAGCGGCCTGTCGACCAAAGTACAACTGGAACAGCGACGTGCAAGGCCAATCGCGTACCAGCTGCTCATGGTCGAGCCGAGTGATAGTCCTTTGTCTTGACCATTGCTGGGACATTCCAACGGATAGTGGCGCATAAACACCACCTTTCAATGATGACAGCGCAACGCAATGCACCGAATGGTCAAGCTTCAGTTACGCGGACACTTACCTAGTCATCCGCGGGGCTCTTGTATACTTAAAAAGAGTCAAGCTTAAATGACTGCGAAGCTAAAATGGCTACAAAGATCTCTTTCTGACCGTCAGAGTCCAAGTGGACATCTTTTGGATCACGTCACGTCGTGTACCAGTGTTCCGGCACCATGTCAAAAACGCACTTTCAATACCCACCAAGCATACAGTCTTCCCTCTGCTAAGTTATAGACTTGGTGGAAGGCAAATCCTATAACATAGCAGACGTTATTCCATAGCAGAGGTATGCTGCGGAAAAATTATTAATTTAATTAATTAAAGAATCAAAAACGCATTAAACCTCCAGGCTTCCAAAACCTGTCTGTCACGTGTCACGTGCCCTATGAAGATTTTGTGGTTTTGGTTGCCCCACCAGTCTCTGGTGATTTTGCTATCTCTAATTAAGAAGTTTCACCAACTGTACCTTGCTCACTCACAACAGATGTCGCAGATACGTCTTACCAACGAGCAGAAGCTGCGCATCTGCAAGCACCAGGATGCTAACCCGCGCATCACCCAGACTGCCCTGGCGGCTTGGACAAAGAACGCCTTTGACCTCCAGAAGGCACTTTCCCAGGCAGCGATCAGCAAAATCATCAAAAAAAACGAAGGAGCTTGAGGCAATGGACACCACTGACCTCAGCGCTAAGCGTCCTCGGACTGTCCAGCACCCAGCTGTGGAGGAGGCCGTCGCCTTCTGGGTCTTGCAGTGCCAGCACCGTGGGGTCGCTCTCACTGGAGATCTCATACGGGCCAAGGCTCAGACCTTTGCGGGATCAATGGGCGTCTCGGAGGAAAACATCAGCTTTTCGCATGGGTGGCTCCACAAATTCCAGCAACGCCACAAACTGCGAGCTGTCCGCATTCATGGCGAGAGTGGCTCAGCAGATATGGGCGCTCTAGAGGAGGCTCTTCCACACATCAAGGCCGTGGTTGCTGGTTATGCGCCACGTGACGTGTACAACATGGACGAAACTGGTAGGTCTGAGAATACAGTACAGTACTGTACTCATTGTACAGTACAGAAGCATCTCAAAGGCTCACTTTCTGTTCAGGTTTGTTCTACAGTATGACGCCCGACAAAACGATCGCCCAGCAAGAGGTCGAAGGGTTTAAAAAGACAAGGTACATTATTGCTCTCCTCTTGGTTTCCTGCGTTTCTCTGACACTAACATCTATTCTAGACGCGCATCACAGTTGCTCTCACGGCAAACGCTGATGGATCCGACAAACTCCCACCGGTCTTCATTGGACACGCCAAAAAGCTGTGGTGTTTTGAGCGCAAGACAGCTGAGCGACTGGGCTTTCTATACCGCAACAACAAGAAAGCCTGGATGAATGGCATACTCTTCCAGGAATGGCTGGGAGACGTCGACAAAAGTATGAAGGTAATTTGGGGCATGCCTTGAACATCATCGTTGTGGTACAGTAAAGGAGGTTTGACTAACGCGTTGACCACATCAAAAGGATAGAAAAATCCTGCTTCTCATGGACAACGCTCCTTTACACATTGTTGCTGACCTGGAACTCACCAACATCACGGTCCAGGTTCTTCCTCCTAATACGACTTCAAAGGTCCAACCCATGGATGCTGGGATTATTGCCGCATTCAAGAGGCACTACCGCCGTCTGCATCTGCAGAATGCCTTGGACCGTGACGAGCGCGGAGAAACCAACCTTTACAAGGTTGATCAGCTCACGGCCATGCGTTGGTCGCTGGCTGCGTGGAGCGAGATTTTCAGTGCCACAATCGCCAACTGCTTCCGTCATATGGGACTCATGGACGGTCCGGCTCTGCCGACTGGTGGGGGTGAAAACGAAGCCGGCACTGTTGGCCAGCAGGCCCAGCAGGAGTCAGCAGCTGCTGCAGTAGAGGAGCAGCGCGTGGAAAAGGATCTTGTTTCGGCGCTGGAAAGGCTCCCGCTCCGCAATCCCATGTCGATCGCTTCTCTTCTCAATCCGGCTGAGGAGGAGGAGACGGCGCATGCGGAGCTGACCGATGCCGAAATCATCAAGCTTGTTGAGGATCCGTATGGGGAGGAGGAAGGTGCTGCTGAGGCTGAGGAGGAGGTAGAAAAGCATTCGAAGGCTGAGAAGCTTGCCAGCCTTAGTCTATCCATCGCCCTTCTCGACCTTTCTCAGGAGTCCCATCGTATAGCTCACCGGACCCTTCGCCAAGTCCAAGATGATCTCCGTAGTGCGAGCACCACTCAGGCCACACTTGATTCCTGGCTGAAGTAGTTCCCTCTCCTCTTTCCACTCCTTTCTTGCAGTGAATAACAAAAAAAAGGTTCTGCGTACAATATTTCTGCTCACGGCGGACAAAAATATTCCTCTGATAAGTTGTATTTGGCCCTCAGGCTATTCCGTATAACTTATTCCGTAGACACCATAGAACGAGGTCGGTGGAGACCGAATCCTATAACTTACTGGAGGTTATTCCATAGCCGGGGATAACTTAGCAGAGGGAAGACTGTAGTAAGTAACCAAAACAGCTGGTCAAGTCCCTTCGTAGCTGTACGACCAGCCAACACAACCATCTGACTCTCCGTTCGTTTTCATTCATCCACTCAATAAATGAGACTTTCACCTTTTCATTTCGCTATTACTCAGCGACTCCTCAACCTCTGAGTCAACTGCATCAACATCGATCGATCCATCCATCCACCCACGTCATAATTGCAATGTCCGAGCTCCCGTCGGACGTTGCCGCCTACTTTGACGCGCTCTTGCACTCGCGTCTCCACAGTCCACCCATTCGCTGCGCTCTAGCCAGTGGAAAAGGCAAAGCGATGTTTGCTGCCCGAGCGCTTCAGGCTGGGGAACCCATTTGGACAGAAGCGCCGTTTGTAGCGATGCAGCACGAAGACAATAAGGACTTTGTCGACTGTTGTGAGAATTGTTTCGTGCCTTTGATTGACAGCAAACTCTGCTGGGCACGCGTCGTGGCTGATTGTAACACGAAAGTGGACGACGGAGCATCTCGTGGAGACAATCTCGTGGCCACTGAAGCCGATTTTGAAGCAGCTATTGCTTTCTTGCAAAAAGAGGGAGGCAAGAGCTCGTCAGAGAGCTATTTCTCCGTGTTTAAAATGGCCGAGACGCAGGTCCATTGCAGCTGTGGAGCTGTCTATTGCTCGGCCAATTGCAAACGGATTGCGTACGCGCAACACCACGCACTACTTTGTCCACGCACAGAAGAGCGGGATAACGCCATGGGCCATTTCTTGAACCACACGCTCGTGGCCAATGAGATTTTCCAGCTTGCAGCAAAGGTCGTGGCCAAGATCTTGCTGCTCTTTGTAGCGACGCAGGATATGGAGCAAGCTCGACAACCTGTTGATGTCTTCTGCAAGTTGCCATGGTGGGAAGTCATAACGTCGGAAGAAGATTTGGAAGACGGAGAGACGTTTGAGAGCTATCAAGACAAGTTTCGCACACTGCTGACGCAGACGTACGACTTTTTTATGCATGGGTTGAAAGAAAACCTGGCTCATCTCGAGACGCTGGATGAACTCAACGGACTAACGACAGAATCGGTCTTGGCCTTGTGCGACCAAGTCCTAAACGTGGACTTTTTCAGTCGCGTGGTTGGCATGTTTGAGATGAACAACATTAGCATGGAGATTGATCACCCGTTCCACGCGCTGAACGAGGCGTTGAGCGAGACTAGTCCTGAGGAGAAGAAGGACATGCCGCCGGTACTTGCTCGTGTAAAAGCAGCGCTAGAAGCGTTTGCGAAAAAGCAAAACCATAAACTCTCTGATCGTGACGAAGAGCAAGAGCAAGGAAGCCAAATAAGCGAGGACGATTGTAATGCGCTGAATGACGATTTTGTAGGTGTGGAAGGCACTGCATTGTTCTCGGGTATCTGCACGATGAACCACAGCTGCGATCCGAATTGCACGGTGCTGTACACAAAAGATGGAGCTGCTCATGTTTTCGCCGTGCAGGACGTTGCGGTAAGTGCACAAAGAGTCGACACGTTGATATATAACCTGTTCGAGTGAATGACTGACCTGTTTGATGGCTAAACAGGAGGGTGAAGAGCTGTGCATCTCATACATTGATGTGGACCAGGATGTCGACGAGCGAGAAGAATATCTTCGGTATGTAAACGCGTGTTCGTAATCCCGTATACATTGTTCATTGGCTGACTGTGTCCATACGTTCTATACCATTACGTTGGTGTCTGGTCGAGCAGCGAGTATCAGTTTGTATGCCATTGCGCTAGGTGCGAAGAAGAGCGAGTGGCATAATATTTTTTATGGGCGATGATGAAGCCGTGACGGATTGATTGTACCAGACAAAGTTCCTTGTATATCGACAGCAGTCCGTCAATTACGTACCCCTTCGGTGCTGTCACAATTTGCTGTTACTTTCTTCACCTTTTCAGTTTGAAGCGCACTGTAAACCGTGTCGTAGATTCTGTAAGTGAAGAATGGCCATATTTCTTGCTCGGACTCTTAGAAGCTGTAAGCTGAAGCTCTGTCAGAAGTATTCTGAACATTAACAGCATATCGACAGACCGTTGAGTGTTTTTCAATCCTAACAAAAGCTGGGACACGCCCATCAAGCGACCACAACTAATAATTTCGAATGTCTGGTATCTCCTAGCCCATGCTCCTATGGCCATAACGTTTAATGATTTATACCGTGTTCGGCTGGATGAGTTTGGGCAGCAGTTTGGTTTTACAACGAGACTTTAGGAGAAAAACTTGAGCTTATACAAGTCTATGGCAAGTTGTCTGTCGAAGATCGGCACATGCACACTCCAATTGCCACCACAACGGTTTTCTTGATCATCGATTATCTATTGCCAACACAACGTCGCTTCAACGCAACGCCGATTCATCATGGCTCGAGCTCTACGTAATTAATCACACGATGTGTAGCCAACACGGCGACTCTCCTTTTTGACGAACGCGAACATGGCAGCGCCCAGTACAATACCGACCAACATGTAGACGATGGGAATGACTGCGCTGCCATTGTAATCACGTCCTTTCATCTCGACCGTGGAAGCCTCGACTGTCTGACGAACAAAGCCTTGAGCAGCTTCACTGTCAACGTGAGAAAGCTGCTTGTTCACCTTCAGCTGGGGCTTGAAAGTGTCACCGGGCCACGTTGCAAATTCGCTGGCCTGTAGCCACCAAGCAGGATACCCAATCGACGATTGCTGCTCTGGAGCTTCACCCGTTGTCATGTAGCCACCACTGTACTTACCAACCAATGTCCATGCAAGCTCCCACCACTGAGCGACAACTCGATTCGCAAACTCGTTGCTTTGGTTTTGCAAGTGAGTCACGATCTCAGCTTCAGTAAACGAGGCGGATAATCGTTTTTCATGCACCTCCTTCTCCATTTGACTTCGCATGGCAAAGGCAGCATTCTGCAGTGCAGTAATTTTGTCACGGATCTCAATGTTCATAGTGTTAAACCGCAGTAGACTCCAGTTGTTGACAAAGTTGAAAGCCCACCAAGCAGACTGCGGATTGAATTTGCTCTGTCGCCCTACCAAGTACGACTCTGGAATCGCGTCCTGTGCACAGGAGAACGGCACAAAGACCGATCCGTGCGGGGCATCGTGGGCGTACCATACCACGCCATCAACTGCATGTACTCCAACTTGACTGCGAATCTGCAGCACGAAGGAAAAGAGCGTGCGGGACATGGAAATCGATCGTTCCCAGCCTCCTGTCACACTAACAGGACTACCTGCCCATCGGACAGGAGATCCAAAGGGTCCAGCTGACATGCCTTTTGTCATATCATAACGCGTGCCTTCATAGTAATCCCGAAGTAAGTCCATAACTTGCTCCAAGTCCACGACACGGTCTGGTTTGACGGAAAATGGGTACGTCGCGTACTGTGAAAAGCTCCCAAGACGGGCATCCAGCTGCAATGAAGGAGCGAGTACGTCAAACACTCGCCAGACACGACGTCCAGTATACAAGGGTCCAATAGCGTCCTTGTCAGCGAAGCCGTACGAAGCCGTAAAGTCAAACGGTTTGTCCCCTTTCTGGTCAAACCAGTTCATCTCTTCCGCAAACGAAAGCACATTTGTTGAAGCCATAAACCAGTCAGGCTGACTCAAGTCCATCTCCCGGATCGTAAAGCCATTAGCAACCACTGTCACGTGTCCGTCTTCAACACGTTGAGCGGCCCAGACAGCGCCTGTGTGGTCCTTGCCCGTCAATATGTGGAAGACCCAGACTTCTCCCAATTGATCTCCAATGATCAAAGCTTCGGCTGAATCTCCATAGTCTGGAGCGGTCATAACTCCACTGTCTTCACTATAGAAACCGTACGTTTCCGCTGCTTGGCCCATGGTGGTTATAGCACACCGAGCAGTAGCACAGCGTTCGAGCGCCAGTTTACTGAGCTCAGCAATGCCGAACAAGTTCTTGCCACCCGGGACGTCCAGGGGCCACCCCGCCGTCTTGGCCCCGCACGTGCTCTCGCTCATACTGAGCTGTGCTTCATTCATCATGCCATAGTCCTGGTCAAAGTAGGCAAAAGTGTGCTCTACTTGCGGGATGAACCCTAGCGGGAGCGAATACACTTGCGTGGAGTTCCTCTCCATGTCAAACTTGGGCTCGTACTGAAGACCTCGATCAGGAGCGACGAGGCGGGGGTACCCACTTTGGATGTTGTAAACAGCACGTTGACTCCCCTTTTCGTGGTCCTGAGCAGGAACGCGAACCAGCCGCAGATCTGAAGCTCCGAGTCCGGCGTCGTCGGTATGGGCGACGAAAGTGGAAACCGAGGCACTCGCGCCTTTGGTCACGCCAATGGCCGTGCACGCCTGGACTGGCGAAGGCTGTTGCGCCATGAGCCATGTGATCACGACTGCAATGGCAGTGGTGGTGCAATAGGGCGACGGACGAATGGTCGTCATGGGGCACGTGGGCTGCTTCGGGTCGGAGGTCGAACTTCGACTGTCGTTGTGGATCGAGTGGACGGTGCAAAGGGGCGTCGAGTCGACCGTGACAAATGCCAAATGATCGTTTGCAGACGACGTGGAGACGGGAAGATACTGCTACGGGCCATGGATTTAAACTGACAGGTCGTCGCGGGATCTTTCGAAGCCTTGGACCACGACGACGTTCCACGACGACGGCTGAAAAAGGTGGTCGTCGCACCCTTTGCTGATTGGGTTGGACGATCTTCCAATTTTGGATTTGAAGATATGGCTGGAGGCGCACCTAATGCGTACTTGTTGCAGGAAATCAGAAAGTGGATCGGTGGACGTGGTGTTTGCATGGACTTAGCTCTGGTGTGGAATCAGTGGCAGAGCTTTGTCGCCATTGATTTCATGCTTTCGATGTCAGGTTTAGTCATACGGTAGATTGTAAGCTTACGCATCGGGTTTACCGAAGGTTTTGCCACAATGAAAACCTTAGTTGAAATATTGATACGTAAACCCCGTTGCAACAAGTTGACACTTGTACACCTAGAGCTGCTTAGTTCTTGTTAAAGTTCGTTTTCGTTCCAAGAGACTGAACATTCTCTGAGTCCAAGACTTGCTTTTCGACGATTAACCAGAGGATCTCTGATTCGGAGGCTGGCTCAATTGTTGGAACTAGGAGACTCTTTGAGTCCACGTCATGTTCAGAATGCTAGACCTGTGGTAGCTTAGTTACAACTTCTGACTCACGATTGTAGGAAAGCTGTATAATCTCAACAGGCAAACCAGGCAACACAACTACAACCCTTCTATTCATTGCTAGCCCGGAGGGTGAAGGTATTAGTTGCTGAGCGCAAGGTACGTGAACATACAGAACTTGATTCAGTTCTATGGACTAAATTACAAAGATCAAAGGGTGAGCTCCAGAGCTTGCTCCCCTATCTTAGAAGAAGTCGTACTTATGATTAGCCATGAGTACGAAATGCGACTGTGTTAGAATCTTAAGCGATTCATACCGCAGTATTCGAACAAGAGGTCTAATACACCTTCAGCTGTTTAGGTTCCCCGGACATTACGACTGACTATGTTACCACCAAGCTTTGGAGAACTAATTGTCGAGTTTCACAAAACATAACTGATGCGGTTCATTGTTGTAGATCGTCTCGACGAAAGGTCGAAGGTAGTTTATTGGTAACGCGCGACGCTCAGGCTGTCACACAAAGGTGGGCTAACCATAAAACGTAGCATTCGAATTTGATACAAAGTCCTTGTGGGGGTCTCACATGTGGACCGTAAGATATGCTATTGGTAATGCCGTGTCCTATGGTTATAGTACTACAACCGATACAGCAGTACCACGTAAGGCTTCACCTCGCGGCATTAGTCCGGGTCAGCCTCGACCCGTGACCCTGCAAACCTAGTCCGGGTCGGAGCCTTACCTACAGCATTTACCGACACCGAATCTGTCATCGCCTGCATACTTGATCCATCTGCGCAAAGGTGCATCATTCAAAGCGACGATGATGCGCTTGACCGGCAGATCTCAACTATAAAGTAATAACGGCTCGACTCGCAACGATTCTGTGCGCGATTCCGTACTATTCGAAGTCAAGGGATAGCAAGGGGGACACACTTGCCGGCACCACTACGTAGTCACACTTTGGGATGCCTTAAGCAGTGTTGACTTAAGACTAACAGTGCTTTAGACGGTTCTGCAACCTGCATTCGTCCTTGACATCTGCATTAGTGAGGTGAAGTTTAACTCCTGTAGGTGAGCAGCGCTGTAGGTAGATGTTTCATGTAGATTCGTAATCTATACCATGACAAAAGCTAGATTATACGTCGTATGGACCTATTCTGTCACTTTGGACACTAGTGGCGCCTCCGTGATATCGGTTCTCGTGCTTATAACCTGTTGGATAGTACGTCTTTCGCTCCTTTTCAAACCCTAATTTGCCGTATCGCACACTTTCTGGCTACAGCAAATAGCGAAACGAGTGTCACTTCCAGCCAATGAGCAAAGGACTGTCAGTAAATTAAACAAAACAGGCATACACAATCGATAGACGCCACGGGTCCTAGTTTAAGCTCAATTCCACCCACCCAGCCATCCCACAATAGAGATGGCGTCCCTCAAAGCGGCCGTACTGCCATCTCTCGGCACGAGCGCTCTGCTCTTCCTCGGAGCCTCTCGACGTCTGTCCAATGGCTCCAGCCCTTCCTCTACGCTCTCCGCCCTCTGCTCAGTGCTGTCCACGCTCGTGTCCATTGTCCTGGTCGTGACCCTCAGCCGCGTCTTGAACTTCCTGATCCAAGTGCGGAGAGACCACGAATCCCTCACCCAGCACGCCTCGTCTGCCGCTCGCGACGACCTTTTACACGCTCTCGACGACAAGTGGTTCCATACGAAGCGACAGTCCGTCAGTCGTAACCCTAGACCGCTACTGGATCAAACAGAGTCTTCCAGTTCGCGGTCCTCAAATCGTAGTAACGTTTCGAGTAATTCGCTGTTCGAACAGGTAAAAGGGACGTTAAAAGACCACGACTTCAGCCTTTATTACAGGGAACGTGCTTCAATCTACCTGCTGAACCCGGCGACAGGGTCCTTCTTACGGACCACGCATCAACGAAAGCTCGCGTTCACGTCGAAGCCAACCCCAGCGTGTCTTTTCCAAGTCATTCAAGCGACAGCGTCGCAGTCATCGTGGAGTTTCTTTTCGGTTCCGGCCCAGCGATTTATTGGTCAAAACCTCATGCAGAAACTCGTTGCGAACAGCAAAAAGGTGCACGCGTGGGAGACGTTTCAAGTTTTGCAGCACTTGGACGCGCCCGCGACCAGTGAAAACTGCAGTCCAGCGGTGTATCTCCTATTGAGTGCTGCTCGATTCGGAAAAGGCATGTGGGTCGCTGACAAAACGGGCTCTCTCTCTCGCTTTTCCCAGTCATCAGGACCTCAAAAGAGCAAAAGTACTAAAAGTTTGGAAACTGGAGCAGGATTGCAAGTCAATCGAGCAATTGGGGCTCAACGTGGCGTCTACTTGTCCAAACAATTTGATCACGCAATTAGATTCGTCTACAGCTCGGATTTGGAAGCACTATTGGCTCTATCAGCTCAAATTGGACGACGATCAGTGAGAATGGGATGTGAACCCATTTCGAGGGATTTCGTCCCTATAGCTCCGACATCACCTCGCTCAATTGGAACATTGCTCCAAGCTAAAGACGCCACATTTCACGTGCCAATGCTTGCGAGATGGAATCGTGGTGATGTGCGTCTACCGTGGCTTGATGCTGCTGCCACGAACGCAGCAGCTACCGATTCAGGACAGACGCAACCATTTTTGGAAACACCTGAAGCGATTATGAGTGAAATTATGACTGCAACGGTCCCTGGTTCGACTGTGAGCGACTTTCTCGAGATTGTAGCTCCACGCCAGATACGCGTTAAATGCGCGATTGACCGGTCAGCACTGATAAAATCTGGCTTACTTGATACTGTCGCAGCAACTCCTGTGTTGAATGTGAGTAGGTATAGAGAAGAAAAAGGCTGTTATGACTTGCTTTGTGACTGGCACGCGCATCCACGCTATGGAATGATACGTGCACTTTGCTATCGCGCTGATGCTGGTGCCGTGTCCAACATCCAACGTCCAAGTGCTGGCAATTGCAGGGGCCCTGCGAAAAGTGCTGCATCAAACAATTTAAAGGCGGCAATTGTAGAGCAGTATCACTCGTGCACAGTTGACACTGATGATGACTTGGTGGATAGTATGGATGAACGAGTTTCGCATAAGGCCGCACTGCGGACCAAGATGTATACTCGTGGCATTCCGTATAGCAATTGTTTTTCGATTGAGGTGCTTATGGAGGTCGAAGACATTCCGTTAGATGACAAGGATGCAAAGAGGCAAGCGTGTCCAATGAGCGATGCAATCATGTCTTGTCTACCAGGTCAAGAGGTTAATTCGGCCTTACAAATTCGGTGGCGAGCAAGCGTTGTTTTCTCAAGACACATAAAGCTCAAGGCACAGATTGAGCGTGGGGCTCTAAACGGCGTTCAAAGCAGTTGTACATCAATATTAAAGCTGCTGCAAAAGACAAGTGCAAGACACCGCGTCGTGTCACCAGGTGAGCGACAGAATCCCATCTTGAACGCCGATGGCTTCGACAAAGCGGAATCTACGAACTGCATTACCGCTTTGGCAGCAAACAGCAACTCGTGTTCATCGTTCGTTCGAGGCGCACGGGAAAAGTGCCACAGGCATCAGGATTTGGTTATGCTGCCTCAAGCATTTGCTCTCGAAGCTATTAAGGGCCTTGTATCTGCGATTGCGGATACGAATCTGCTTTCGGACAATCTTAGCACCTTACCGGTCCAGCTACCGTGGAGGTCATTTACCTGTCGGCAATCCTCGGTACGTCCTAAGCCTCTGCATGCAGTAGCAGCTACCATGACTGCTATTCCTTTTTTTGAAAGCAAACCGGAGGCGTTTGTGGGGGTTCTTGACGAAGACTTGGGCAGTAAGGTGACGGCAGCACTATTTTTTGAGGCGTTACTGTCAGATGCTTTGTCTTATTTCCGCCTTCCTCACGCTGATAGTGGCACGAGGGAGGTGGATATAAGTGCCTGGCGAGCCATCGTATCACCTGGACAACCATATAAGCGAACGAACGGATACATACGCAAACAGGTGTTTCGAATGCCACTGAATGGAATACCCGGAGTTGAAGTAGCACGAGTTGAGGATTTCCAGTACTATGCATTTGTTAAGGCTTGGAATCACGATTCGCCGGCACCGGTAGTCGCGCAATACAATAACACTCGTATTGGCGATAAACTAGAAATCTGCAATGGAAGTACCGATGCTTCTCAAGTCCCCACGGGGTGTTTACCTATCCAGAATGAGGAAGCAAACGCTCGTAAAGTGAAGCACTACAGCTTACACCAACAGCGTCTTGAGTTTGGTATGAAGCTTTTCGTTCCTGCGTTGCCTGGAGGGTCTCTTTTTTCGGTACGTCGTGGCTGCATTATGCTGTTCACTACTGTTTATAACCTGTTAACCGTGAAATGTGTAGATCGAAGTATTGGCAATTGTGGAGCCTGCAAAGAACGACTCGTCCGACCACTCTCTTCGCGTCTTCTTTGCAACACCATCGCAAAATCGGCACCCTCAGGTGCGGGAACACGCCGTCGACAATCGATATGTGGTGGATGGTATTTCGCGAGGGCTAAGGCAGATTTGGAAGCAAATAGCGCAGACAATGACGGAAGTCTGCGAATCAAATCGTGACTTCTTTGACCAACCTCGTCAAGGTCAGTCTTCTGTGCACACGTCTCACGGATTCAACAACGATGAAATGTGCTTGCTACGAAGGTTACGGACCAACCTGGATTTGCCAACGCATGATGAGCTAGCCTCCCGATTGGTTGAAGCGATTGCAACGGCGTACAGTCGAACGATAGATCGCAAAGCACACGCAGAATGTTAAATTAAGGAGCATGTAAATGCTTGGAACTACAATGGATATGGTTTTCCCTCACGTTCAGGTTGTATGGTATCATCCAAGACTAATTTTGTAAACATCGTAAACTGTGATTTGAATAGGGTTGCAGAGCGCACCCAAACATGCATGTGTGCAAATCATCAAATTTGCAGTGCGTAAAAGCGCACTGTTTCAGTACACGATCAGTACATTGTGATGTCAAGTGAAAAAAGGTGTGACCGAAACGCAGGCATGTACCAATCATCGCATCGATGTTCTCGTTGCAAGTGACCCGCATGATGCAGCCCATATACGCATTACTGTACATTATACGCAATGATGCGATGAAAGCAGAGGCTAGCAAGCCATGTAACTACCATTAGTCATAAATGATGAAAACCGTACAAGTGCGTCCTATAATGCTCCCTCGCTTTTGAGCTGAAGTATTGGCCGTGTTCGGTTGTCAGTCTGGACCAATATAGTGCAACAATAATTGGACAAGCTTACTGAGAGCGTATGCACAAGTGCGAAAGTGCCTTGTACTTGTAAACAGCGATTACACTATGCTGTTGTTGATCACCTACCAACTACGATGATGCTTACGGCGTCATTGATCGCTTATGGCACTTTCTATTCCAGATAGCTGAATGTAAACACTTGATACTCAAATCTTTGCGTGCCGGTCCTCGCATTATCGGTGCTGCCGCTTAATTTAAGTGCATCCCCATTGACAGGTAATAATCCGCTTTATTTACGGTCAATTGCGTGCGAATCACGCCCCTCACTCTATTTCACATGACCTTTAACTTTGTGTCAGCAGTTGTTGGGCAGTATATTATTGATTGTGCTTCCTTTACATGACAAGTCTCGTCGCATTACACGGGTGGACTCTATAGTTTGCAACATTATAATCATTCTCTCATGTTAACGTAGGGAGGGGATATAATCGAACCTTTTTTTTCTTACAATTTGCACATTCGCACTCTTGTCAAATTCGCATCCTTGTGCTAATCCAGCTATTACACCCGTAACCTCTTACTCTTTCTCGACGTAAAACAACCAAAGAGTTTCTATCTAATATTTCGTATCTTCATTTCACACCCTTCTCCGACAATATATTCGCTTGACAGCAGTGCACTATTAAGAGCCATGTGAAATGGATCTTGTAATTTAAGCTATCATACAATTATAGGGACTACCTGGTAGTGCATGTGCACTTGTTCGTCTTTTGTTAGTTGGGGTGATTGTGAGTAGCTAAAACGTCGTCATTATCGAGATCATCGACATGCAGTCTACTAATGATTCGTACAAATACCAAACAATTGTTCTACATTAAGTGGCTTCTGCACTATAGCAGTAGAATAATTCCTTACCCACAACTGTAATAGTAATACTCCCTTCGACTACCTGTGATGTCGGTCGGTTCCTCCTCCGCACCGCCCACAGGCAGTCTGGGATAACAGATGAAGTGATAAAAGCTATCGAATTTCACAATTGCGGGTGCACAAAGTATCTGCAAAGTCATTGCTTTACTGATCACGCCTAAGTAAGTCATTGTGCTCAGCCTGAGCAACTCTCGTTGTGGTGTCGCAGAACAACGCACGATCAGGATCTCAATTTGCTACCTATAAACAACAAAGAAATTGCAGGTGTGCGCACATAATCAAACAGACTCACTGTGTATATTTTAATGCTTCCGCGTTCTATTTGTGGGTGAAAGCATTTATTACCAAAAATGAAAGTAGGGTGTAAGATGCAACGCGTCAGAAGTATGCTCGCGGTCTCTCTGAAGTTGCATCATTTCGTTTTAATCTATGAATGACCTGTCAGCAAAGCAACAGCACGTATCTGCTAAACTGTAGCGAGAACAAACGGTTTATTATAACAGATGCCTTCAAAGATATACGGCTACATGGAAGAACTAATATAAGTATAAATACCGGTATGACTATTATTATTTGCGTGATAAACGATAAATCAAGAAAATAATATACAAAGTAAAAGAAAAGCAACATTAGATGCATTAGGGTGTATGCAACGGGGTATCCCGTTGCATGATATTGACACCAAACGGTGTCAATAGGGTATTGTCTAGCATGACAATATCCTTCCAATATTGTTCGAGATGGATATTGTTGTAGGAATAGTATCCCCTTTGTAGGACACATTCATGCGTTGCTTAAAAAGTTGGTTGATAAAGACAAATCAATCAAGCATACCACTAATCGCTGCTAGACGCGCGTAATAAGTGAGAGCAGGTTGTCGTCATACGACAATGTAGAATTGTATAATTAGATAAAGAGTGAAGTTATTTTGATAGCTTAACTATATTAAATACAGCTCTCTTTTTACCTTTACTCAAACTAGCTGTTTGAGTAAATAAGCTTCCTCTGCACGTACTAGTGTACGTGAAGTTTCGTGGCATCCCAACGAAGGGTGCCCCGTTACACCTGGTAGCACTTTGTAGTCCGTCCAACGATTACTTAGTGTCCATCCAACATGAACATGTTGAAAGTAGAATACAATAGCTTTCACGTCACACGTGAAGGCTACTCCCATCTGAGTGACTCAGAATGAGCTATAGTCGGCCGTATGAGTGTGATAGTGGGCGAGCCCGCCATTAATGGTATGTTGGAGTCTCTAAGCAGAGACCAGCAACATGCTGCTATCAACAAGTTCTTACGAGAAGAACTTGCCGTCGAAAGACGGAAGAGAGCCTTGCTACAACAGCAAGGCTCTCATCAGTCGATCGGCACACGCATGTGTGTCGGCCCGAAACCTTAAAGGTTGATGCCTCACGGAACAAGGAAACCGATGGAGATTCCCTTTGAGATGGTTCGCCGAGTAAGACGACACCATCAGGACCCGTCACATCGAGGGTGACGAGATGCAAGTCGACCTCTTCCTGTCAAATTTGACAAGACGAGCAAAGACTTGGGCCTCAGGGCTCAACCTTCACGATCCAAACGTGTTTGAGTCGTTGGAGATCTTGCTATCTCGGCTCAAATAGACGTTTGAGCCGCCGAGAGCCGAGTTCAGAGCACGCTCTGCACTCTTGAGGCTCAAGCAAGGTAAGCGTGATGCGCACACTCATCCACAACACCTACGCTACCTTGCGAGTAGCGTCACGAAAACCCTGTTGATGAGCACACGCTCATCAACGTGTTCATCTACGGCCTTGTAGATGGGCCGGTGAAGACCTACGTGTTCCGAGAGGACTTCCATACGCTAGAATAGGCGATAGCGTATGCGGAACAAGATGACTTCAGCATGAGACAGTCTCAGGCTAACCCGTCAAAATATCGTCCGACGAGACTACAGGAAACAGGATGTCCCGAACCAATGAAGCTTTGTTACATTGAGAGCGAGAACTCTCTCTTTAAGTTACAAGCGAACAGCAAGATGCCATCTTGAAGATTGGACACTACGCTCATAAGTGTGTTGTCCCAAGAACCGCAACACGTCCGAAGACAGTACGTGATGACCGCCGTTGGCTAAGGAAAGGTCCAAGGCGTGGGTCCGACCATATCGCTAAGCCGCGACAACAAGTCGGACCGTCAAAAACAGTCAGGGTAAGTAGGGGCGGAGCACCCTGCTGATCCAGCAAACTCAAGAAAATTTGCAGGACTCTTGACGAAGATTGCTTCCAACACATAGTCGCTGTGTGTTACTGCCCCTAGTGATGAGGTGTTCCTCATCACGTTGAAGATCGAAGTGACAAGTGGTATGTCACTTCGCGACCTAGTTGACTGTGGAGCGTCGAACAGTTTCATTCGTTGCCAGTCGCTTGAGGATGGTAGGATCAACTATGTTGAGCGAGAGTTCCCTCCAACGAGGATGACGGTGTGCCTTGCTACACGGGCATCCGTAATAGTGAAAAAACGTGTAGTGGGAGTCCACTACACTCTAGAAGGATAGCAGTACGATGATGCCTTCATCGTACTGGATCTGGATGACGAATTTGATGTCGTCCTCGGTCTGCCATGGCTTAGAAGATACCAGCCATGGCTTAGCTGGCAGTATCGATCCGTGAAGATGCCTGCCGTTTGTTCCTCAGATGGCCATCTGATGAACGTCTTGGAGCGTCTACAAGCGTGTGGATGTACTTCGAGTGAGTGCGTAGCCTCACTTGTGGTACGGTCGTTAGTACGACTGCACAAGGTCACAGTGTAAAATTCCACTACACTGTAAAACCAGCTTCTGGAACCTGTGTATAGACACAGGCTGCGCCGAAGGTTCACCACTCGAAGAGATCGAGTGGACTGGAACACGGGTGCACAACAAGAAGGGTGCATTCGAGGAGAGTGATTAGTGTTGTTCAGGATTAACAACACGTTGAAGCGAGATCGACTATCAGAGAGTCGATAGTAGAACAAGCCCGATCGACTGAAAGAGAGTCCATCGAAGAGGACGTGACTGTGGTAGTAAACCCACAGTCAGTACACGTATATGAAGAAAGTTCCAGTGTTCCTGAGAGCAATAACTCCCAAGAGAGTTATGTTGAGGGTGTGGATCTCCAACCACCCGCGGATGTGTTTTCGCAGGAAATAACCGAGTCAGTTAATGTCTTGGTGAATGAGGGATCAAGTGTAGGCGCTTATACACTTGATCTGATTACACCTCCGAAGTCAGCTTTGGATGTAGTCGAGTTTCCAACGCTAGAATCTAAAAGGTTCTTGCGAGATTTGCTTAGTGGCAAGATCAAGCAGATATGTGTACTCGTCACAGAGGATGAGTGCGTCGCCAATATTCGGTCGGTAGAAGTGTTTGCTGAGAACGAACGGGTTCTTAACAGCTCATCGATAGACGAAATGTCCTCGATGAGAAAACTTGGATTGAGCGGTACACATCTCAACATTAGGAGTCTTTAAGGACAAATCCTTTGTACAAGGATTTGGTGGAATGTAGGGATGTTTTTCCGGAATCCGTGCCATGCGAGCTGCCAAAAGCTAAGGCAATGAACATGAAATCGAACTGAAACTAGTTTGAAGTACTGTAATATGGAG